ATAAGAATCTAAAATGTGTGTGATAATAGTCTCTCCATCCTTTGTTAAACCGTAAACCACTGGAATTTTCACTGCCAGTTCATTCGTTTCTATTGTCGAACTGATTGAAGCAATTGATAAATTTGGCATTTCTTGCATTGATTCTGACTGCTCAGAATTGCGGCATGATTTTACTTCGACAGCAAAATGAAGCTCGCTATCAGTGTTATATGGTGATGAGTTTTGCTCGAAACTTTGCATTGGTGTGACTGAAATAGAACCTGATTGCAAATTATGATTCAGATTATCAGTGTCAGTATCACTTGATTCTATAGCATCACTTGAAATTTGCAGGGAATCACTTTCATTCCAGACTGATTTTGATTCTTGGTTTGGAAATTCATTTCCAATTTTTTCTTGTACTTGTTGGACGACATTCTGAATCATTTCATCCATATAAAGTTCTAAAAATTCATTCATATGCTCATTCATTGCTTTCATATCTGTTTCCGCTTGCGGCAAACTTTTTACTTTTTCTCTTCTTTCTTGTATGTTTGATTCATCAAATTCATGTGTTCTGTAAAGTCTAGAATCTTCATGAGTTTTCGTATCACAGACTTGAGATTCTGAATTCATACTTTTATTGCTGATTAAGTCAGAAATTGTAGTATCTTCAAGAATATTTTGGAAATCTGTGACTTCTGATATACATATCTTCTTTGGTTGTTGCTTAGCTTCTGAATCTTCACGATAAGCGTATCTGACTGCATCAGCTTCTGATGCTTGCTTTTCCTCGCTTTTTGTTTGCAATTCAATTTCTGTTTCCTTTCTAGCTAATAATTTCACATTTCCAAATTTCTTCTCGACAGATTCTACCTGAGGATAAGATTTAGCTATCGTAATATCTGAACTTGTTTCTGTTATAGGTGATGCTACCAAATCTTGATTCCTTTCTGTAATTTTAAATCTATCATTCAAAATGTCATTCTCATCTTTGACTTGGTCCGAGAAGCTTTGAAAATCTTGTTTCTCTATTATCACATCTGAAATTTTGGAAGGAGAAACTTCATTTTCTTGATAGTCACTTGATTCTTGGCTTAGTTGTTCGTTTGAAGCTGAAATCAATGACTCAAACATTTGAATACCATAAACTATAGGTTCCAGATCACTAGTTAAATTTCCTATAATTACATTTTCAAAATTCATAACTGGCTTTTTCAATAGGTTTGTCTCATCTGCATTACAAATCTCATCAAATTCTGATTTTTCCCTCTTTTGCAATGATTCACTTTCTGCTTCAGAAATTTCTATTTTCTGATGTGAATCTTCTTCTTCAAGGACAAGCTGACTGAGAGCACTATTTTCCTTTATGCTATCTGTGACTTCTGAAATCTCAATACTTGCACTATCTTCCTTTACTTCTGCAAGAAACAAACTAGGTTCTGATGCGTTTACTCCTGGTAATATTTCTGCTTCTTCATCTTTATTCTGAGTATGTGCAAGTATAGAATCCAAATCCCTTGTAGATATTTCTAACAGTGCAACTGATGGTGGTAAGTGAGATTCAGATTGAAGAGTACTAGAAGATTCAGAGATATCATAATCAAGATTTGAATGTTGAGCTTTTGATGTTGAGAGATTGCTTTCATACGGGATGTCGTCCGTTTCTCCTTCATTAATCAGTTTTTTTTCGTCCAGAGGTATAAAAGAAGATAACTGCTCCAATTCATGGAATTTTGAAATATCTTTTACTGTTTCCAAAGACTCAGTAATTTCTGAAGTTGCATCTACCGAAATTAATTGCTTATCAAAATTTTCAACCACATTTTTAGGCAAAAACTGTGCTTTTACAGTATTATCTATACCAGAATCTGCTTCAGGCTTCAAATCTTTTGTCATAATATCAACACTATCGATAACTTCAATGTTCAGTGCAACATCTTCCTTCACCTCATTTTCTTCACCATCAGATTCCTGAAGGATAGAATCCTCTACTATTTTTCTTCTATCAGAAGCTTCGGAAAACTTCAATTCGTATTCTCTTTCGTCATTTTCATTTTCTGCTTCAGTTTTCACCATTGTTAATCGCTGCATGTCTTTCTTGTCCTCACAGAAGTCATCGTAGTGGATAGTTCCTGAAACTGAGTCTTGCTTCAGTGCTGATGATTCCGAAGAAGCTGATGAAATCAGCACTGATTCTGGTGGCTTATCTAAGAAAGAGGTGTGGGGTGTTTGTATCTGTTCAGAAGCAGAGACTTGTGATGCCATTGATTCTAAGATTCCCTCCTCGATATCATGTGCTTCCAATGGTAATGGATACAAAATTTGTGCATCTTGTACAACATTTTTGCTTCCATCAAAATGGTCATGGAAAGCTGAATCTATTTCCGAAATTTCTCCTTCTGAATTGCAAACTGTAATTTCGATTTTTGTTTTACTGTAGGGTTGATTTTCATGTACCAAATGATCTTCTGAATCGTTATCCAGCATCTGAGAACTTTTTCTCCTTTCATCTATTTTTGATTCTTCTGTTGAATAAATTTCTTGTGCTTGCTGTTGTGTCTTTTGAACTATTATAGGCAAATCCTCTTCACTAACCGTTTCTGTGATTCTCATGGATGCAAGAGATTGATTCTCTTTCTGATGAGAATCTTCCGCTACAATCACTTTTTTTTCGGCTATATTCTCTTCAAGAGAACTTGCGCCTTCATCGTTTGCATTTTCACTCATCAAGGTCAAGTCTTCTACACTTACGTTTTTATTCGCAGATTTCATGGTTTCAGTAATTGCATCCTTCTCTTGAGGAGACATAACTTCGAAAATTCCACCTTCACTTACGAAGGTTACGGCTTCAGCACTTGGATCTTTAGAGGTAGAGGTCATAATAGGTGTGTCGGATGCATTTTGCTGAGTAAGGTCATCACTCGAGTACTGCCCTATTGACTTCTGTTTTTCATCTATTAAATCTGGCACAACAGCTTCATAAGTTGTAGGACCTATTTCTTGTGCTTTTGCTAGCATTGTAGCTTTAATCTCGAAACTTGAAAATTTGTCTTGTGGCTCTTCTGTATTATTCAAACTTGCTAGCTGTTGACTATTCTTATTATCAGTCAGATTCTGACTTGGTCCTTCTAACTGGTTGTCAGTCTTCAATTCAGATTCCACATCTTCCATCAAAATCTTTTCCTGACACAGTGCCATAACTTCCGATTCTGTTGTTTGTTGAAGATCCTCTCGATTCGAATCCAATTCATCAGCTGACATTTTTATAGCTTCTATTCGTTCTGAAACAGGCGACGAAGCTATAAAAGAGTCAGTTCCACCCCCGATATTCAATGATTCTTGATCGAATATTTCTTCTACTGAACTTGGAGGTGAAATTGTATAATATTGGTTCTCCATTGCCCCTGAATCAAGTCTTACTTGATCAGAACTATCTATCTGATAATTACTATCAACATTTATTGCCAACGGCGAGCTTACAGGTTCGGCATTGGCTTCTGTCTCCGGCACTGAATCAACATTTTCTGGTGGACAAACCTTCAAAGATTCTTTTTCATTTTGCTCTGTATTAACACTGGGCTTATATTCTTCATTTTTTCGTCTAATTGGTTGGATTTTTGACTTTGGAATTACTTTAGGTGTAGTATGAAGAGTTGCGGAAATGCCTACAACAGAAAGTTCTGATTCATTTTGAATGTCATTTGATTTAGGCTTTAGTTTTGCTACAGGTTGTAGTGTTTCGCGGTCTGTTGTTGATTTTTGAATGGTATTTTTGATCTTCGTCGAATTTGATCTGCAAAATTTTCAGTTCAGCTGATATGAAGGATTATTTTATAACAATATCAACTTTTCTAATATTGAATTTATTAAAACGAGAGTAAATTATTTAATAAAACTTGACAATTTCTCTCAAGTAAAGAATTTCAAAGTTAAAAGTATTGACCTACCTGAGCAATATATGCAATGAAAGTATCTAATGTTTGACTGGAATTATTTGTGGCAGTAAGTTTTCTTTTTCAAAAATTTGAAAATTCAAAAATTTCTTTTTTAGTAATTAAGTATAATTTAGTATAATTTTAGTAATTAAGTTTTTTCTTATTTAGTATTATTATTAGTAATAATGCATTACTAAAAAAGTCGTCTAGTCTTTATATCTTACTTTAAAAGAAATAATCTTCCAGCAAATTTTGAACTATCAAAATTTTTTGATAGATGCCTTAATTAATTAATTAAGATAATATAATTTGTAGAACTCATACTTTCCAATTGTTGATGTTTCACAGAACAAAACTTCAAAATTTTCATTTTTTATTTCAGTTTTTAAAACGAGAAGTTAAGTCATCAAATATTATAATTTTTTAACTATCTGAATTTTGTATTAAAAAAAATTACTTCACTGCCTGTGGTAATTTGGTAACATTGACAGTATGCGCTTTTGGTGGAGTACTTTTGCCAGTCTGTTTTATGATTGGTAGCTTCTCATTTTGACTGATATTTATTTGACGTTTTACAGTGAGGCGTTCATTTGCGTGAGAATTTTCGAGTTCTGCATTACGTGATAATTGAGGTTTACCTGAACGGCTGCGATGTTGCTTTGATGCATGAATGCTTCTAAAACAAGTTCGAAATTTAAAAATAATATATAAGCTTAAACTTGAAAATATTGCAAGCACTTTTGAGTAATTTACTTCACATACAACATTAAAAACTGCTTTTAATTTGCAAGCAAAATAAAAATTAAGCGATTACAGATAATAAGTCATATTAAGTTTCTTACTGAGTTTATGTTATAATGTCTAGTTAGATTAATTCTGTGAAGTGTATTCTGTAATAGTTTTTTGTATGAAATGTCAAGTAATTTATTATTAGTAATTGTTGTAAAGTTGACCGAATACAATTGTTGAATGAATTATATTCAATTTCTGTATTTTAATGAATTGGCCTTGATTTTTGTTCTGTATTGTAAATAACAATCTTCATTCTCAGCTACTGGCAGTAAAAAATTCAGTGTTTTGTGGCTATTTTGAATACCTCAAAACTGGTTGCTCATACGTATTGCTGTGTGTAGTAGTAGTAATAATACAAGACGTAGGCGTAGTATCGATCAAACTGGGTAGTGACCTGCGTCTGAAGAACCATGAGATCTGAGGGTCAGTTTGATTTCTTGCCACGGAATATGGCCCAAATGAAACTTCACGGAAACGTTCTAGACGGCTAAGTTGACGTCGTAATTGGTGCATATAAACGGACAGAGTTTCATCATCAAGCTTAAAATAATCTTGATATAAACTTGTTTATATTTTTGATTTAATAAAAATAGATTCATACTTTAGTACTTCTTGATTTGATATTTGTTTACACTAACTCTGATTAATTCTTAAATTAAGATAGTAAAATTTGGTGAATTGCTCGTAATTACTTTTTAAGGAATACATTTAGATCGTTTACTGCCTTACAAATGCTGCGCTTAATTTAATGCTTTTCAAATTTTGATTACGATTATGACTGACTTTGTTAATATTTGCCTCATAAATTTTAAAAAAGTGAAAAAGTACTAAAAGTGAGAATTTAAATTGTATATTATTATCTATAAAGCAGTAGTCAAATACAGTTAATAGAAACTACTTTATGCAAATATCGATATTTACGTATATTCGTTGATAATCTGTTGTAAACCAAAGATGGATTCTCGTAAGTTAATTCTTCGTTTTCCTTTTCAATTTTTTTCACCAAATCCTTGTCATCTGTACTTGTAGACGATCTTCGATGATGACGCTTTTTTATATATCTTCCTGAAATATTAGTGGAAGTTTCAGAACACACTGAATTAAACTTTCACTTATGCTAATTTGATAGCAATAATTCCATTAATTATACAAAAAACAATATTAGATTTTTTTAATTTGCATTAATTATATCTGTTTAAAGCTAAATCTGTAATCTGTGAATACATAAATCCTTCTATATATATAGATAGATAATTTATAATAGTTTATAAAATAGCAAAATTTTTATTAGTATATATATTAAACACTCTGATTTGTGTCACAAAGTGGATTATCATTCAGAAGTATTGCTAATAAAAATTTTGTAAGTAATATTATTTTTATAACTAAAAGATAATTGTAAAAGCAAATTTTCTTACTGAAACTCAAATAAGAAAGTCTGGCTGAAATTTTTCTATAATTATTTTTGGAATATTATAAATTTTTTATTCGCTGAGAAAAGAGTTATTGTAAAGGAAAATAGCTTCTGAATAATAATCCTTTAAGAAAAATAAAATTGTAAATTAATGACCTCGGCTTAAACTTCGAGAAGGTTTTGCTCCATGCCAATCACTTGGAGATGCATTTCCATTCTATAACGAGAATCTGGACTGATGAATAAATGAAACAGATTCTTAAATTTGTTAACTTTCCTAGAAGTCAATTTATTCGCTTAAAAAAACATTGCATAATTTCTATGAATTTTTATATTGGATATGACTAAACGATTCACACGAACAATAAGTTTATTAATTGAAATATATAAAAGATTGTTTTTTAAGTAAAATAACATGAATTTTGAAAAATATATTTTAAACTTTATTTTTGCTATAACTTTAATATTTATTGAAGTTTAAATAAAAGACAATGTTAATAATTCTTTGAGAATATGCATCAATTTTCAAATTTGAAATAAATAAAAATAAATAAGTTTTATAATTTTACTTAAAAAACTTTAAAACAAACTCTTATCCTTCGACAAATTTCAATTTTTTCTGCTGCATTTAATTTACGCTGTAATTCAGCATATTTTTGCAATTCTGCTTCACGATTACGTAGCATTCTATTAATTTCTACGTGCTTTGGATGAATATTCGTCCCACTTGAAGATTCTTCTTGCTTTAAATCTTCAAGCTTAAAAAATAGGATTTTAAATTATTCTGAGTACTTTTTCACATATTTAGAAACTTATTAAAAAAACAATTAAAACGTTAATTAATTTCCAAAAATATGTGCTTAATATTCCAAAATATAAAATTTATATCTATCTGAAGCATTTTTTGCTAAAATTTAGTAGCTTTTTCTGTTTACAAATAGCCCTTTTGATAAAGTTTCTGATTGCTTCACTTTTATTATGTGAAAATTATTAATGAAGTAATCTGAAACAGTTCGCAGGATCAAAAAAAATAAAAAAACTAGTGTAAAAAATGTTTGGTAAGAAAAAAACACGCATTTAAAACAATCATGGTTTAAATCTCGTGTATTAATACTTCGCGTCAAAAACTTTACTATTTTTAAATTGTTTATATTTATTTTTTCTTTACAGTAATCAGATCTTTCTAGATTTTAGCATATTTTTCATGAATATATTATATGCAAACATTAAAATTATTTCAAAAAATTGAATTCAATTGTAATTGTATTTTTTTTGTTAAATTTTTTTGCAGCCTTTTATTTTTATTTTAGTGTAAATGGCAATTAATTTTAAAAAAAAATAGTAATAACTAATTTTAATATACAGTATTCCGATTTTAGTAGTAGATTAGTTTTTGAGAAGCACAAGTACTAATAAAATTTAATATTTTATCTACTTTTATCAATAATGCAAGAAATATATGAGAGTAACTGCTGGATTATTCGTTATTAAAGTATATGAATTTATATTTATATTGATAATAGAAAACTGATTAACTTAAAATAAAAGTTGAATTAAAAAAATGATAACTAACCAAACCAAAATATCTAAGATGGCGTTGCATATGTGGCATAGCAAAATATTTGCGCAGATGGATATCATACAATGGATTATAATTATCAAGTAAATCGTCAGTCATTGTGTTGATAAAACTGATATATATATATATTTTTTGGAAATAAATTATTAATTGATTTTCAAGCTAAGTCCGCACCAAATTTTATTCAATCAGATATTGATCAGTCAACCAATCAATAAGTCAATCAGTAACTTTTTTAGCTCCAAATTCTTTGTCTAGAAATGATTTGATATTAAACATCTAATTGCAAAAATCCAAAATCAGTAATTATGAATAAATTTGAAATGAATATTAATGTAGCCGACCAGTGTGTACTATCTGAAAGTTAAAAGCAAATTAATTCAAAAATATGAGATTGATTAAAACTGCTGGATATACTTTTCAATCGCAAATATGTTTTTTGCTTCATAAAATTTTTACTGTTTTTGATACTGTATCAAATAATGACTACTGTAAGTAAAAAAGATAAGTAATCAAAAAACTTTCAAAAATTATAACAATGTTCAATCAGATTGCGATTGAGAATGAAAATAAGTAAGTGATCGTAATCAATTTTATATCATCTGACTTAATAAAACGGAAATTAAAAACTGAAGGAATAATCTGAAGCAATCTTTGCTGTGCTATTGTTTTCTAAATACAAAAGAATCGCAATATTTATTTCCGAAAATGACCGCCACAAAATGACCATCTCTTTTCGAAAATGACCATTAATTTATTATTTTATTAAAATAAAGTAGAATATTCCCAACAATTTTGCATAAATATCAAAAATAATAAAAAATTGCATTTTACCTGCCATTAACACTAATATAACGCAGGTGAAGGACGACAAACAGTAGTGACTAGGTCAAAAGTTCACTTTAATTTTTACACAGTCATTTAACGTTTTAACAAACCAGATATTACATACATATACATAATATAAATATATACGTAGTTGTGCGTATTTCACGTATTCATGCAATAGTAATAAAGTGGTAAATGCAGCAGTGCAAACAGACTTAACACACAAACACAACTTGATCAAATGCTACCAGTTGCCTGTAATGAATCACTCAGAAAATATTTTGTAACAGATTACACGAACAATTTTATTTTCAGAAAAAGCAAAAAAACTTAAAAAAGAATAAAAAAGTCAAAATGACAAAAATGCTGTGAAGCAATTTTTCATTACTTGGCAAAATTAACAAATTAAACGTTTTAAAAGATAAATTTTACGTGTGATTAAAATTATTTGAAACAATTCCGTGGCGTGGGACCTGGAAGTTTACGCTATAAAATAGCGTAAAATCTGGAAATATGCAAATTATATGAATATGCACGTAAGTCTGGAAATACGCATTAACGTAAGTAATATGAACAAAAGTTGACTTTTCTTGAATTTCAATTAATATTTCACGTAATACTGAGCACGATTTATATTTGTTTAGTTGATGTAACAAATTTGTAAAGTTAGGTAAACGTTGTTACAATGTTTTATGAATTGAAGTTGAATTATTAACTTTAAAAAATATTTACCAAAAAAAATTTGACAAATTTCAAACGATAGATAATGTTAAATCAAAGTAAGTAACAAAAATTTGTAACAAATTTTTGACTATTTTTAATTTATCGCGTCAATTTGAATCTACACGGAACGTAACTGACAATTAGTTTTTTCATAATTTCCTTGCAATTAAAAAGAAAATTAATTTCAGAATCGTTAAAAAATGACCTCAATTTGCGCCAAACAATGCCTTATGAATTTTTTGTAATTGAACTCTTGATGAATCAGAACAAAAATTTAAAACATACATTCCATACTTCTGAGGACAAAACACTAATATTAACTTAAAAAGAGATTTAATGAATTGGAAATTAAAAAGATTTCATTTAATTCTTTCAAGTAATAGCTGAAATATTTATCTTTTCAACTGATCAAAGTTTATTGAAAAAAGATATTTTTCAACTCAATAATTTTAATTGCAAGCTATAAATAGTGCTAGCATACTGTGCAAAATACTCAAATTGCATAAAATCAAAAATATAAATATTAAAAAATTGCAATGATAATAATAAATTTTTGAGAATTTTTGAGTATAATTGGGACTGCGCACAACATATTACTTAAAATCAGCACTTTAATAAGTTTTGAATTTATTTGAAATTTTTATGCAAAAAAATAAAGTCAAAATTGTTTGATAACGCTTTGGCAAAAATGAAACAGTTGAAATTAAGAGCTAATCAGATTTAGTTCTGTAGATTATAAAAATTTTTCAGTTTCAAATATGAAAAATCAAAGTTTTTAAAAGTTTTTCAGAATTGAATCTATTACAATTGCAAAACTTATATTTATATATTATTAATAATATTACTGATATTAACATTATCATTATTATCAATGTTATTATCATTATTATTTGTATACTTTCACGAACAAATTATAGAATTGTGTCATTAGAGAAAATAATCTTGGTGATTATAGGGACAATAATGACAGTAATAAGAAATGATTTTTGGAATATAGACAAAGATATACGCTTAGTTTTCAACAATCATATTTTGTAAGAGAAGGATCAGCTTCTGAAGAATAATTATTTTCATGTTAGAAACTAAAAAACAAATTATTAATGCAATTTCTTTCAAAAATTAATCCAAAAAAAAAAATCAGTGAATTATATAACTGTACTTCGCAATAAAAAATTTAATCAAAAAAATTTCTAATTAATTATAAAAAACAAAATTACTTTGTATATTAAAAAAATTAAAATATTCAACAAAAATAAAAAACTGCAAAATTTGCATAAAAGCTTAAAAATTAATATTGCTTCAAGTAAATGAAAATCTTATGTTTTTGAATTATATTTTTAGTATAATAAATTATAATACTTTCAGGTTTTATAAGTTTTTCAAATATAATTTTTTTAAAGCTTCGACAATATCATAAAATAGCTTTAAGTAATTACCCTTTTGGATTGTTTAATAATCTGAAAAGCTTGCAAAATTTCCAACTATAAATCAAAAAGTTAATTCAAATTATTTTCAAATTTAAAAGTTAGCACTTAAAGAAGAGAAATGATTGCTTTGGCACAGAGTTTAATTAAACTTTTTAACTTTCTGTGCTTGGAAAAAATTTATAAAACAGAAATTAGCATATCTCAAAATGATAAATATTTTCCAATGTGTTTTGAACGGATTTACAAAATGCCTCATTTTTTCCCGCTCAGTTTGCTTCAATTTCAGTAAAATGAATGAGAAACACAGAATATAGAATCAGTTTTTTACAAAAATGACCTCATATACAAAACTTTTTCCTTATTCATTTCCAATTAAATATAACACAAAATATGCTTAATACAAATGTAAGTTAGAATATGTACTCCTATACTATCTGCGCAATAAATCCCTGAAATGAAAATATTATAAATCGTTTAAAATTTAGACCAGTAACCGAGTTAAATTCATACAACAAGCTGATCTGATTAAATTTGAATCAACTGAACTCTTTTTAGGATGCTTGGTTCATAGCTCTGAAAATTGAAATTTAATTAATTTTATTTAAAAATTGTATTATTTTTGCGAATTTCATGAATAAATATGAGCAGATGCTGAGTCAAATGAATTATTCATCCACTTATGGTGGCAAAATCTTTAAATTTGCAGTAAATTATTTCAAAAGCAAAATATTACATGCAGTAAGATAATTTTTCAGTTACAGTAATTTATGCTATCAAGCACTTAATTTTAAATTAATTATGCTTAAAATTATCGTCATGAATACTGGAATTGAAAATGATAAAATTTTACTGTTAAGGACAAATAGTATTTCAGAATTCAAACTAAGAATGTTTTTTAGAAAAACTCGCAAAAGAGTAATTAATATATATTTAGAAGTGATATGTAATTCAGTATAAAAATTGTTGAAGTTATTATTTAAAGATAAATAATAATTAGTATTTAGGAGGAAATTATGATTTTTTTGAGCAAATTATCAAAAAGTAAGAATAAGTGTATATTGTAAATGAAAAACAGAAAAGCAAACAGTAAGAATCTGCGCAACTGATAAATGACTTATCTGATAAAAATGCATTATCAAAACAAAAAAACGATGCTAATAATTAATTACTCATATTTAAATTTTTGTAAATCAGTTTTAATTTAACTGCTATTAAATAATTATTCGCGTGTTACTTTCTTTTTTTTTTAATTTTTCACAATCCTTTAAGAAGCTTCGAGCTCAAATAGTCTTAAAAAAAATTAATTTAAGTCAAATGTCAAAAAAAATCCAAAAATGAAAGCTAACAGAAGATATGCTTTCTTAATAATACGAAAGTCTGAAGAAAAATTAGCACTTCTCATCACTGAAACTAATCAAAACTTTTACTTAGAATAAGCTGCAAAAGCTGAATTTTATTACTTCTAGAACGATAAGTATTAGATTTTTCAACTTTTTATTTCTACTAAAAGCTAAAAGTTTTGAAGGAATTATTTTATGTCCTAAAAAAACGCCAAATCGGAAAATTTATTCTTTTTTTGTTAGGAATAACTTTAAGAACTTAGCATTTCTTTAGAACACAAAACAAAAACAATTCATTTTATTAATTGTGAAAAATCATTTTTATAAAATTATTTTTGTATGCAAAAAATAGTGACGTTCGCTTCAAAAATGACACGTTCTTGGAATATCTCAGAATACAGTGAACAAATAAATTGAATTAATTCAACTTTTTAATGGTAAATTGTAAAAGTGACAAATATCAAGTCTAAATTCACTATGCAGACACTAGATTTAAGAGCTAATATAAGTGTATTTCGATTCTGATAAGTGTATTTCAATTCTGATAACTGTACTTCTATTCTGATATATTTCCCTGATAATAATTTTAACGGTTTTCTTAATACTTTCATATAAATTCACGGACGCTTGCTTTGATAATTACTACAAAAATTTTTATGCTGCATTTGAACAATATCCTCTCAAAAGCTGTCAAGAAATCAGAACTAAATTTGAGCAGCTACTCCTCACATAATTATCCCTATGCATGATATTTACTATTGGAATATTAATTAAAAAGTAA